AGATATTTGCAAAAAGATGGAAAAGAATATCCTAAAGATTCAAAAATACAACTAATTGATGATTTTCCTAAACATTTATGGTCTAAAGTTCAAGTTAAAATACATGGTAAAACAATAACTGAAATTGAGTATGTAGGAAAAGTAAGTACAATTAACGGTGTGATAGGCTGCAACTCTTTGGATTCAAATGGACCAAGTATAAACTCAGTCTTTGTAAGCAAATTTAAAGGTGGAGGTAATTTTAATGTTATGGGTTTATTATCAAAATTTGGTTTACCATTTTTCAATGACATTTCAATTCCTGTTATCAATTGTGATATGGAATTATGTTTTACTAGAAATACAGATGATGATGCATTACTGAAAAAAGATGTAGTTATTGAAAATGGTAAAGGGGTAAGAAAAACTGTTGTAGGAACAGAAGATGGTAAAATTATTATTGATGAATTTTCAATTAAAATTCCAGTTGTACGATACGCTGCTTTACAAAATGTTTTATTGGTAAATGAAATAACTACATTTTCTAAAGAAAAAAAGTATACTTTTATTTTTAAAGCGTGGCAAATGATTGAGTAAGAAATATAAAAGGAAAAACTATTAAAATTAATGTAACAAATGAATATCGAAGTAAAAATCAACCTATGTTATGTGGTTTTGTATTTCAAACAAATAAATTAAATACTCAAGATCATGACCCTGGTGAATTTGATAATTGTCGTGTTAGAAGCTATAGTTTTGAATTAAATGGAATAAATTATCCTGCAGAACGTCAAGATGAAGATTTTAATAATAATAAGTTTTGTCAATTTTATGATGATTTAATGTCCTATAAATTAACTTATCATAAAAATACTCAAGAACTTCCATTGATGTATAATGATCCAACTGATTTTAAGGAATATAGATCAATATTTCTAACTAAAACAGTTTATCAACCAGAAAATATCCTTTTTAATAAAAAAAATATTATTTTACATATTGAGTTACATGAAGATTTACCTAAAGATACAATTTGTTATATTTTTTTCATAAGAGAAGATGAATTTTTGTTTGATGTTGAAAGAGGTACTATTGAAGAAATATAAAAATATAAAAAAGAAAAAGTTGGAGTACTCCAACCTTTATCTCCTAGTGACTATTATTTTCAAAAGAATATTTCTATTGAAAAATTATTTAATATTTTTTATTTAATTAAATCAAGAAAAACAATAAAATCAACATTATCAAAAACATATTTTTTACCATTTTGATCTATAATATCTATTTTTATTTCTTGAAAATGTCCTTTAACAGGTGTGTATATTATTGAATTAGTTTTTGTATATGGATTATCATAATCATAATAAAAATTATACAAAACATCTTCCTCGATGTGATGACTATCCTTAACAGTTGAAAAAGATTTTTCAATTATATTGCAATGTACTTCTAATAATCGTTTATTTATATTATTATTATTTAAGACTTCTCCAATGTGTTTATATAAAAAATACATTTTATCAATCCCTAAACTTGTTTTAAAATTTTGATCCATCAAAAAATCAGTTTTTGAAGTAAATGTAATACAATTATTATCATTTTGTAATTTAATACCTGATGGTAATTTACTATTCAATTGATCAATTGAATAATTTCCCTTTATCATAGTTTTAATGTTATTACTTCGACTCGCTATAACACCATTAAAAATTTTAAAAAAACCTTGTGTATAATAATTTATGGATAAGGTTATAAAACCAAACTTAACGAAGAAAAATTCTATTATAATTTTTGATGATGTGATATGCAGCCCACAATCTGTAATCAGAGAATACTTTAGAATTGGTAGGCATTCAGGTGCCAGCTCCGTATTTTCTTTAGCACAGACATATTCTAAAATATCAAAACAGCTTGTAAGAGATAACGCAAACTTTTTAATAATACTGAAACAAGATGATAGAAATTTACGACATATATTCAACGATCATTCGTCTGCAGATATGGATTTCTCAGAATTTCGGAAAATTTCTCATTTATGCTGGAATCATAGCTATTATGGGTTTATGGTTATCGATAAAACTCGAGAAATGAATGAAGGAAGGTATAGATGCGGTTTTCATACATTCATTAAAATAAAATAATTTTATGTGTTTATATAAATATACCGTCACACAGTTATTATCTGCATAGTGTAATCAGTAGTCATACGATACAGGTATATTGCATTTATTATTTACAATGAACCAAGAAAAAGTCTTGTTGGAAAATTTAATAACATCAAAAAAAAATATACAACGAAAAATAATGGAAATGAAACGTGGTGTTATAGATTCTGAAAACTATTTCCGTGAGGCATTTAAGCCGATAATTGAACCATTGAGTACACATGTGAAACAAAATGTAATATGTAACACACGGTCAACTGAACTAGAAAATAAATCAGAAATCCCGTGCATTAGTGAAGAAGATAATGATGATGAATTAAATTCATCATATGAAAATTTTTTAAATAACCGTCCTAAATCAACACGTTTTGATAAATCTTATGGTATGTATTATGATAAAGATAGTGATTCATATAAAATAGAAAAACATCCTGTTACTTTTAGTCACGGCAAATTACTGTTGCTTAATAAATACTACCAATTTACACTAGGACTATGGTCTTTATTATGTGAGAAGGAACCAAAAAATACAACTATAGCAGATATAGAATCTTATTACAATATTTTGAAAACTACTGGAGTCCATTTAAAAGCAGATGGAAAACCTAGAACCTCGAGATACCATAAATGGGTGACTGTTGTAAAACCGCTGTATGATCGAATGCAAATGGAGGAAAAACAGTTTAACGAAGAAATAAGTAAAATTAATGAGAATACAACTCCTCGAATTATTATTATTATAGTATAATGACTACCTTAGAGAGTATAGCTAATGAGTTACATCGGCCAGCGAGAAAAATATTTCTTAGACGCAGTGTAGTAACGCGGTTTATTGATGACCTCTGGCAAGCTGATTTAATGGACATGCAATCTCATTATAGAGAAAATTATGGTTTTAAGTATATTTTAGTTGTCATAGATACATATAGTACGTATGGCTTGAGGTGTTAAAAAATAAAACATAGAAAGAATGTACAAAAGGTATGTTTAATATATTGAAAAAAGCTCATCGGAAATTATTACAGACAGATAATGGTACAGAATTTTACAATGCTCAATTTCAAGATTTATAGAAAAAATATAAAATTAAACATTACAGTTCATACAGTGTTATTAAATGCTCAATCGCGGAACGCGTGATCAGATCTATTAAGAATAATATATATAGACATTTTACTGCTACTGGTACATGGAATTGGTATAATACACTATCAAAAATTACACAAAATTATAATAATACAAAACATAGAACAATCAAATGTACACCGAATGAAGCTCGAATGGATACAAACAATAATAAATTTAATACACAAATAAATGATACATTATATAATCCAAAATTTAAAGTTAATGACAAAGTAAGAATATCTAAGTATAAACATATATTTAGTAAAGGATATACACCAAATTGGACAACGGAAATATTTTCAGTTTCAAAAGTTTTACAGACAAATCCAGTAACTTATCAACTAATCAGACAATATAATCTTAGGTGGTTTTTATGAACAGGAAATTAAATTAACTGATTTTCCAAACACCTTTCTCATTGAACGTATTGTAAAAAAAGTTGGGAATAAAATGCTTGTTAAATGGTTAGGTTTTGATTCAAGTCAAAATTCATGGATAACATCATCAGATATTTCAACATAATTTTTTTATATATAATATTTTGCTAATTTTTTTTTAAATAAAATAAAAAAATTTAAGTTTTTTTAAGTCGAATTAATTATTTCACATGATCTCCTGATCCTCAATAGTCTGTTGGGTTAACTTAATGTATCCACAATCGATAAAAAAAATAAAAAGCGACATCTAGTGGTAAATGAATCAATGAAAATAAAAAATACTTCTATATTTTTATCCTTTAATTTTAGTAAAGTATTTATTTTATCTTTAACATTTATTTAATAAAAAAGTTTATAATCAACTTGTATAGTATGGAATCTATATTCTTAATCAAACATTTTTTAGAACATTTTTTTTTAAATCTTTCAATTTTAATTAATTCTATTGATTCTGATGGTTAACGGTTTGAAATAATTTTCTTCATTCTTTACTGAACTGTAAAACATAAAATATATAAGCAGTTATGTTATAAATTATTATAATATCATATCGAACAACTTATTTCAATTATATATATATATATAAAATGTAGTTTTTTTCTTATTTAATAATATTCTTCTTAAATATTGGCGATTCCAATCGAAGTAACTGAACTCTATCGGTATTGATAAGAACTAACGAAATGTAGGCTAATGATGAAATGATAATATCATTTTATATACAAAAAACGTGGTGTAAACTGTGAACTTATAAAATATTTCTTTACTTTCATTATTTAATAATTAAATATAATTTAAAATGTCCACATCGGATCATACCTACTCAAATAAATTAAATACCAAACGCTACCATTCGAAAAGATACTGCTGTGTACCTCAGTGCCATAAGAAAAATATGTAAGTTCAATATTTCAATAGAAATAATACAAATTTAGTAATATAACTAGTGATTTATTATTACTGTTACTAATATAACACTATACTATAAGAATAAATATTATTTTATTATATTTAAGACGTGGTGATACTATACTCTATTCAGAATAACCTTGCCCACCCGATCGACGAAAACTCGTCGAGTTCGCGCATGTCTGTTGCCACCGTCGGCGCTGATGTCGACTGTGCTGCTGCCGCCGACGCGCTGCAGCTGTATACGTAGTGAACTATAGTATCCACGTTACTATGCCACAAGTGGTTTACGCTTTCAGTCCGTAACACATAAAAACACCGCCCGCCTTCCGATATTTGATCTCGTTTTTTTTAATACTATTTTGTGAATTATTCATCCAAAATGGCAAGCAGTTCTGACGAGGATAATGCTGAATATGGCCCATCACCAATTAAAAAGCAGAAAAGTGGAAAAGTGAGTATTATATGTATAATATAAAAATTCCGAGTTTATAAAAAGCATGTTTTTTTCAAAAAAAAAAAAATGGTTTTAATCGATTAAAACATGTTTTTGTTTGAAATGTCTTTCAGGACAGCATTTTTATTAAGACTTATTTTTTAAATATTTTTATTTCAGGCTATAAGTGAGGATTTAAGAATCCGTATTGTTAATATGTACAAAAGTATAATAATGGACGAACCTAACATTTCCATGAGGCAAATTCGTAAGCAAATTTCAGAACTACTGTCTATTGCGAACGTTCAATCCACACGATCATTAAGGCTTACAATGAGACAAAGACGGTGCCAGTCGCAAAAACAACACGTAAGAAAAAATCATTTCGCGATCTTTTTGACGATTTTTCAAAAAACGCAGTACATAGGCATGTGCATAGCACCTGGTTTCGCCGTGAAATTCCTACGATTGATAAAATCCACCAAGCCGTGTCAGCCGACGACAGTTTGCCAACAGTATCGCGCACAAATTTATTTCATCTTTTAAAAGATTTAGATTTCCGTTACAGTAAGCGAAGTAGGAACAGTGCTATGACTGAAAAAAATGAAATTGTTGGGTGGAGAAGAACGTATTTGGATAGCATTAGAAAATACCGGGAAGAGGGTCGACACATTTATTTTCTCGACGAAACATGGGTGAATGCTGGCGATTGTACATCGAAAACGTGGGTCGACACAACAGTACGGTTTCACCGTGATGCATTCTTAAAAGGTGCTGTTAATCCCTCTGGCAAAGGGAAACGACTTATTGTTCTCCATATCGGCTCTGAAGATGGTTTTGTCCCCGGTGGTATGTTGTGTTTTGAATCGAAAAAAAATACGAGTGACTACCACGACGAGATGAATGGGGACACATTTCGTGAATGGATGGAGGGCACTCTACCTCGCCTAAAACCGAACTTCGTAATTGTTATAGACAATGCGTCCTACCATTCCGTGAAAATTGACAAAGCCCCAACATCGAATACACGAAAGGCGGATATAATTAAGTGGCTGGAGGATAAAGGAGAAGTGGTAGACCGAACTATGGTTATCCCTCAACTTTTGCTCATAGTGAAACGTTTAAAACCACAACATAATAGGTATGTTATTGATGAACTAGCAAAAAACAGTGGTTATACAGTATTACGTCTCCCCCATACCACTGTGAGCTTAACCCCATTGAGCTTGCTTGGTCATCAGTGAAGAACCATGTTCGAATGAACAACACAACTTATAAACTTCCAGATGTAAAAAAATTACTAGTAGAGGGCATATATCGAGTTGACTCACAAATGTGGAAAAATTTTATAAGCCACACGAAAAAAGAAGAGATAAAATTTTATGAGGTCGATAACATAATAGATGAGATGTTGTCCGCGGAGAAAGATGATTTGTTGATGACTATTACGGGAGACACATCTTCTGAAACGGATTCCGATACTGAATAATGTTGACCTTAATTTTTGTAAATATAACTATAATTTTTGTAAATATAACTATAATTTTTGTAAATATAACTATAATTTTTGTGTATATAACGATAATTTTTGTAAACATGAATTTGATTTTTGTTAATTACTGTTTAGAAAAAAATGACTTTTTTGTAAATATAACTATAATTTTTGTGTATATAACGATAATTTTTGTAAACATGAATTTGATTTTTGTTAATTACTGTTTAGAGAAAAATGACTTTTTTAGAAATATGAGTAATTTTTGTAAATATGAAGTTGTATTTATTTATTAGTTTTAATTTCCTTCTCAAATTACATAGGTATTAATTACATTGGTACTTGGTTTTAATAATAATTGTATACTACGTAAGCATTGTGTTTGGTACAGAAAAATAAGGTAAAAGTACAAAAAACACGGTAAAGGAAAAAAAACTATACATTATAACATGATATAGGTAATAATTATTAATTATTACGATCGTGTTATTATGAACATCTGTATATACGGCGGCGGCTGTCGATAGCGGCGCATGACGGTAGCGGTCGACAACTAACGACCAATCACAGTGCACCTGACTCTCGCCGGGGGGTCTGACGACTGCCGGCGGCTCAGTTGCGTGCGCGAAAGTGGGCAAGGTTATTCTGAATAGAGTATAGTGTAAGTTTTCATGCATTTCCAAGCAACATTAACAAAAAGCGACAGTGGGAGATTGTTTTGAAAATGGGCAAAAAAACTCCAAAAAATGCTGTGGTGTGTTCATTTCACTTCCAAGACGAGGATTTTATTATTAGCCAAACAAGTAATTGATTATAGTTTAAGACCTTTATTTTAAATGATAAAATTGCAAGACTTAACAGTTTTTTTTCTACAAAATAAAAACCTATTTAGAACACTCGCCGAGGTTACGTCGTCTCAAAGTAAATGTGATTCCATTATTGAATCTTCCAAAAAGAAAACTGGACAAAGTGATTGACACTCCTACTAAAGAAAAGATACGAAAAAGATCTGAGCGAGCACAAAAACGATCCAAATTTGTCGGAGGTTTATTTGGTGCAAGTAATGAATTAGATCAAACACAAGAGCAAACATCATCTGACTTTGAAGAACTTGCTAATGAATTAATAGATGAAGCTAAAGTTCAAATATCGAACAAAGAACAAATACTAACTTTTGATAAATGTATCCAAGTAGACCCTTTGTACCGACCTCCAGGATTCAAAAGCACTATTATGGATCTAATTAGAAATGATACTGACATATTAGCCTTTACAGGAATCCCCACATTATTAAAATTCAAAAAAATAGTTGAAGTAGGGGAATTGATAGTTCTTAGATTAAATTATAATACCGAATTTGCCTTAGATGTTCATCATCGAATATTATTAACATTAATTAAACTTAAACTGAACATATCATATAAATGCCTTTGTGTATTATTTAGTATATCTAAAAGTACATGCTCAAATTATTTTTACAACACTATTGATCTATTATATTTAATCTTAAAACCTCTAATTATCTGGCCATCTAAAAACAGTATAGAAAATAATATTCCTAGGTGTTTCATTAATTTCATGTCTACAAGAGTTATTGTAGATGGAACTGAAACTGCTATTGAAACACCAAAATGTCTAGCATGTCGTATTAGGACATATTCATTTTATAAAGGTCGTCACACCATTAAGTTCATGGTAGGTATATCTCCTAATGGGTTAATTACTTTTGTAAGTGATGTATTTGGTGGAAAAGCTTCTGATAAACATATATTTGAAACTGGAGGTATTTTAAATATGTGTGAAATAGGGGACTCTGTAATGGCAGATAAAGGATTTCTTATAGAAGAATCTTGCACAAATGCAGGAGTCAAATTAATTCGCCCTCCTTTTTTGAGAAAAAATAAACAGCTTAGTTTAAACGATGGTGTAGCAAACACAGAAATTGCCAAAGCTAGGGTACACATAGAACGAGCCATACAAAGGATTAAAATATACCATATTTTTAAAAATAAAATGCCTTGGAAGTGTATTTGTAAAATAGATAAAATTGTATATATTGTTTGTGGAATTACTAATATTTCAAACCCGATAATAGGAAATGATGGATTTTAATATTTTTATTATTTAAAAAATAACTAATTTATATATCATTAAGTCATGATAATATATTGTAAAGCATATATTTTATTAAAACATCATAATATACATTTAAAAAATAACTTATTAAAGTAATATAATGTGAATATTATAATTATTTAATTAATTTTTGTATTTAATTTAATTATATTTTATCCTGATTTTCTAATAAAAAAGGTAATACATGTCTAAAATATATGAAATTTAGTGAAGAATATAATTCTTTACAAAATTCTAAATCTAATATAACTTCTATTAATAAAACAGAATTAGTCATTTTTTCATATATAACTAAGTAACAATTTTTAATATTACAAAGTAATAAACCTAACTGAATTTGCCCATAATAAGAATGTTTTTTTTTAAGGCTGGGTACACCTATGCTATTAATTACAATATATTTTAAACTCTTTAATAGTTCTAACCCACACATGGTTTTCCCCATTACTGGACACTTGATTTCAATTAAATACATTTCATTATCAGATATAAAAAACCCATCTGGACTAAATCCTAACCAAGGACAATGAATATTAACAATAATCCCTGATTTAATTACAGTTATATTTTTTAATTTTTCAAAAGCTTTAATCGCCAATGGTTCATTTTCAACCCCATAAAAAGTAGCGCTGTTTCCAGAGAAATTGGAAAACAATAAGGATTTTAATTCAGAACAAATATTTTTATTTTGAAGTGATCCACGAAAAAAAGTAAATAATTTATACGCTGATGTACCAGTGATTCTCAATTTACGAGATGTAAGCCATATTGGTCCCATTTGAGTTAATGTACTATTACACAGATTGATTGATTCTTGTTTATTAATTTCTACTTTTGTTTTATAAAAATGTATAGCATCTGAGGAACAATTATTAGTTAACTCGAGTATATTTTGTGCATCATCTTTGATTACTGAAGAATGTGCAGTTACCAATTTTGTATAAAAGTTATTTTTATCAAAACTAGATGTACTTGTTGTAGTGTCTAGTGATCGAGTTCGAGGACTATGGCGACCTTTTAGGTGAATTGATAATGCTGAATCTGGAAAACCTAGAACAATATTACCATGTGTTAAAATGTAACTAAGTACCCAATATAACCATCATAGCAAATAATTATTATTATATAATATAGATAATGCTTTATATCCATTTGAGTGTAGTATTAAAGCATAGCAATTTAACAGTACATAAATACCAAATAAGTTTATAGCCATTAATGATTACTATAGGAATCACAAAAAAAAAAAAAAAACTAATAGACTATACATTTTGAGATTAAATATAAAATATTGCATAAAAATAAGCAAAATAAGCAAAAGCCTTTAAGTGTGTTATTAGTTCATTTTCATACTTTTTATACTTATACTTCATATTTTTTTTTATTCCAATTATTTGTAGAATTAGAATTATTTATGTAGACCTTTATTGTAAATCCCTGCAGAATTTTAAAAGAATTTTTACTTTTTTAAAACTAAATAAAAATGTATTATACAATAATAAAACTAATTTGTATATTTGTAAAAAGTTATCGATGAATGACATAATATATACCTTGTAACAATGTTTGAAAAACTTCTTCTTGAAGGTCAGGTGGTAGCGAGTTTGGTAAACTTTGTTTATAAGAAGCAGTAGGACATTCAACATGACAAAATTCTCTTAAGAGGACGTGTCACCCAAAGCTGTACGCATGCAACGACCGAGAGGATGCGCTGTTAGGTGTTTTCACGATCCGCAAGCGCGCGGCGTTTAAGTCACGCCTACTATTCGCAACCGGCCGACGGCGGCGACGAGTGCTCGTTCGGGACTTCGGGAGCGCCGTTTATTTGTCTATGAACGTTCGTCCAGTACCATTCGTATCATTATATAATTCATTATACGCAAATGCCGCCGTAATATTTTCAATACCCTCGCGTACCTACGAACTACAGATTATAAATTAAGATACTGTTTACTTAAATTTATGTCCCAACATGTAGACCGTAGAAACTGTATTATAACATAGCTTGATTTGAAGTTATTGAATTATTACTTATTTAAATATAATACTTATAGTAAAATCTAATAAATGGTAAATAAAATAAAAACAGCGCAATTAAATTAATATTAATTTACCGTGTATTATTTTTTAAGTTCAACTGTTAATGTTATATTAAAATATGATAATAAGTAATTACAAATATTTATTTAAATTAATAATATGTTTGTAGTAGGTATACCTATTACCTAACGTATAACTAATATAGTAATATAATAATTATAGGTAATCTACTCGTAATGATAATAATAATAGGTACACTAAAATCTTTATTTATCATTCTGTAGTTTTTAGAGATCGGGTACATTGACTGAGAAAAATAACTAATTTAAAATGTATAGTTGTAAAATATAATTATAACAAATTGTAACATAAATTTATTAAAAAATTATTTCTATAAGTAACTGTTAGTTTAAAATTACCTACTATACAAACTACTATATTATAAGTATTATACAATCCAATGAATTACAGTTTATCAAATGGATAAAATCAATAAATAGATTTAGTATGTGACCTATATTATTTATCACCACATTTATATTTAAAAAAGAAATTATAATCATATTACCTATATTAATATAATAAAAGGGTAACGCGCAACAATTTCCTATTATTTAACCATGAAAAAAATTAATATTAGTTCAACAAGTATAATATAATTTATAGTTTTCTTTTTTTCTTTTTTTTTTTGTGTCTGTGTACACGATAAGTAGTAGAAATAATGCTTCGATTTTCAACTTCAGTATCTTGTTCGATTGGAAAGTGAATATCGTTGGTGCATTGGGAGGTCAAAATTTAAAATGCTCAGTAATTTTCAAAAG